GATTATATTTATCTATTTGAAATAAATCTTAACATTCTTTTTCAATGATTTATATATTAAATCTAATGTAATATTCGTTCGTTCGTTCGTTCGTTTGTTTGTTTTATCAATTAACTTGTCAAAATAATAAAACGAAGAAAAATGTATTACTGTTTTTTGTTAACCTTGAACAATCAAAATCAAGGATTTATATAAAGATAATATTTATAATTAAACGAACGACGAACATTAATTTTAATATTTAAATAAATTAATATGTTGGTGGTTGATAATTTGATTGAACTTGTTGTGTTGTCGTAAATGGTGGTTGAGAAAAACTTCCTGCACCAACATTAGATGGATATCCACCATATGTTTGACCAGATACTGTTGAATGATCTTCATAATTTGAACTAAATAAATTTAATACACCTTCACGATAACGACCAAATGCAAAGAAAGTCAATGCAGCCTAAAAATAAAATAAAATAAACTAAAATAAATAAACATAAACATAAAAGTTCTACCCAAATTAATATTGAAAAAAAAGCAAATGCAATAGCTGATTGAACATTATTACGACCATTCCATCCATCTTTATCTTTATTAGCTTCTTTTCTCCATTGATCAGTCATATAACAAAAACCAATAAACCATAAAAATACCAAAATACCTTTTGTTTTTTTATAAAATAAAAAACATATTAACATATATAAATACTTATTTAATTATATATTAAATAACCTGATATAGCTAATTCAGTTAAAACAATTGTTTTACGTGTTTTAACATTTGATATATTTGGAAAATAAATATCAAGTCCAGTAAATCCCATTGTTAAAATAAATGCAATAACACCTATTACAATAGCATAACCACAAGCATTTGAACCATTATAACGACATACATCATCAACATAACCTTCTTGGGCAATACATCCAAATACTATTATTGAAAAGACCTTTTTATAAACAACAACAACAACAACAACAATATTTAATTAATAATAAAACTTTATTTATATTTAAATCAATACCCAAGCAACAAGCCGTAATATAACCTGAGGTTTCTTTATAAAACCAATTGGATCAAAAGCAGATCCAGCTCGACCGGCACCATATGCTTGTGCTTCTGATGATGAATTCATATATGATTAACACTTTATATTTAAATATTTGACGTTAATATCTTAAATAATAATTATTTATTTATAGTTTACATTTATTGACAAAAGAATATCTATCGAAATAACAACAATAAGATTTCTATATTGAGTGAATCATTTTAGAAAAAAAACAAGGAAATCTTTTTTTTTTTTTCTATAAATAATAACAAGAAAACATATTATTTATTGATTTTGTTCAAGTGACATCTTTTGAAATAATTTAAATAGATAAACAAGTTATTCGCGTCAAATTTATAATTATATTTAAATAAAAAAAATGATTTATTTAATAATAAATAATTTTTTATTTAAATAATAATAATAATAATAATAATTAAATGATAATATAATATATAATATATATTACTTTTTTTTAAGATGTCACTCACTAACAACTCTTTATCATAATTAATTATTAATTAATATTTATAATATCATTTTATATAATTAAAATAAAAATAAATAAATTATTTTAATTTAACTTTCATTTCAACTATATTCTATTATCTATATCTATATCTATTGAATATTTTTATTTTTTATTTTTTATTTTCTATTTATCTTATTATGATATTAAATAATTGTATTTTTTATAATTCACTCATTAATTATAAATAATATCGCATTCGATTAAGTTTCAATTTTAAAAATAATATATTTATTTATTTATTTATTTATTTATTTAAGATAAAATAATAATATATTACATATTGAGATGATCACAATTTATATTCGTTATATATGTATTATTGTTCGTATGAAAATAGAGTTCAATGTCCGTTATAAATCATTAAAAATAAAAATAAATTCTATAAAATAAATAATTATTAGAAATATTTGATCATTGTTGTGTTTCATTGTTTTCTAGATTTGTTGTTTCAGTTTCATTTATATAAAGAGGATCTTTTACAATTTTTTTATCTTCCCGTGGTAGACTTTGAGAACGTTTTGATAAAGATTTTCCATCATTTAATTGACGATCAGTAGACTAAAATAACCAATGAAAAACAAAATAAAAATAAAAATAAATTCTAAATAAAAATATATTTGTCATTGAAATATGAAATATGAAATATGAAAAAACGTTTTCAATAGTTAATTAAAGTCAAATTCCTATAAATGATTATATGATTATATTTTATATCGATATTTAAACATGATTATTACAATCTATAAATGATTCAAGCAAGATCTATTCAAATATACGATCGAACTTTTCTTTCAATGAATAATCAACTAATTATTCTCATATCAACAATATATTATTAAATTTGACGAACTCGACTTGTTTATGTCCATTAGACTAATCAATTAAGAATTAAAAATATTAATGTATAATAATAATAATATATATGATTAGAGTTGATAAAAACTATTATTTTGAAGATAAACTAAAGAGTAATAGAGAGAATCTATTTAAAATAATATAGAAAAACAACTTAAATTCGTTACCAAATATAATACTTATCTAGACGTATATTTAATAGTGATAAACTAATTATTTATGTAAATCCTACTAGCTATTAGATAGAAATAAATTGATGTCAGTTGAATATTAGTATGTTATCATAGAATGAAATGAGTCGAATTATTTTATTTTCTTCTAAATAATAATATGAAATAATTGACGTGAAAAATTGTTCAGATAAAAATGTCCAATGAGACGTTATATTTAGAAAAAATAACATTGAGAATTTTTCGATAAAATCTTTTCGAGATCGATATATGAATTTTTTTTCAAAATATACGATTTTTGACATGTTTACTTTAAAAAAATTCATATTTTCGACAAATTTCATCGAAATATTTTGAGTTTTTTTTATTTCTAAATGCTATTCTCATTTCGAGTTTTATCTCGAAAAATGTTTACATCAATATAAAAAAGAACATATGATTTAATTTAAAAAAGTGAAGTTCTCAAGGAAAAAATCTACTGGAAATTGTATATATGAGGAAAATAAGGGCAACATGTTCAAATAAGTGTTGAGTATAAACGTATTTACTTGAATATGTTCGTTGATAAGTGGTATTGTTAAAGAAAATATTATTTCGTTTCATTATTGATTAAATATTTTCCATTTTCCATTTGCCATCATTTTCCATAAACTAATAAGTTGTCAA